GATCTATTTAAATGATAAATGACTTATGACAAGTCATGTAAGTCATATAAGTCATATGATGTCATGTGCCAACACTGAGTTAGGGTAAAAAAAGCTTTGAAATTATATTAGGATTAGAGTAAGAATTGGTAGTTTCAGGTTTAACTTTTCTTTTTTTTATGAAACTTTATATAAGAATTAAATCAAGTAAATTCTGATAAAATAGAATCATAGAAAATTATTTACAAGTGATAAAGAAATTTTGATCCTTCAGTATCAAAGTTACAAAATTCTAAGATGCATTATAGAAAAATGCTGACCAATAGAGATAAAAAGATTTAAAGTACAGTATACTGTAAAAATTTGAAATGGTTGATTATTGCTAAAAAAATTGAAAGATGCTTTTATATTTTTTTTACAATTTTTTTATTTCTTATATTTATACTAAGATTACTATTACACATTATTATGTAAAGTAGAATAAGTGAGAGTAGTATAATAAATAAAATCGAAGAAGTCACGTAAAATATTAATCATATAATTTTAGGGATCAGTGATATATAGCTATAGCAATAAATTACAAAACTCTTTTTTTAATATTTTTAATAAAAAAATACATACACCAGAAGTTAGATAAAATTATTATTAAATTTGACATTTTTTTATTTAGTAATTTACAATCTTTTATATTCTTTTATATTTTATTATCTTTAATTGGCAGTGCATTAAGAAAGTTCTTGAACAACTTAAAACATTAATAATTTCAAAATGATTACGCTAAATCACATGAAAAATAAATCAGTTAAAAAGCCAAAAAATCAGTTTTATTTATTTTTTATTTACGAAAATTTAATATGAAATAAGTTCCTCATTTTTTTTAATTACAAGCCTACAATGTTTCTTCATTGATCTCACTAAATTCACTAAAATGCTTTTTGGGATTTTTTCTATTCCTTCTTCATAAATTGTTCATTTAAATTTTTTGGCACTATTTTTCAACATTTTCTTTAATGATATTCCATTTTTTATAGGATTTAAATTGGGACTATTAGAAGGCTAATTTATTACTAACAGGGCATTTTTTTCTAAAAATGCTTTAATCACTTTACTTTTATGCTTAAGATTATTATCATGTTTGAACTGTCAATGACTCCTAAGCTTTTTTTTAATTTCAGGTAAATGTTTTCAACATAAAACGAACCATTCATTATCCTTTAGAATAAAAAAAGACTTGTACTTCCTTTATCTAAAACCCACCCTAAGCTAACATTTTTTTTTTATCTTTCAAAATTATATTTCGTTTAATTCTAAAAAAAATGCAGTAACAAGTTCAACATACTACAAAGAAAAAAAGGTTGGTTTGATAATCAATAAATACATTTGGTTAAGTCACAGGAAATACTTTCTTAATGCATTATATATAATCACATTAATCAAAATTTTTGTATATGTGTGACTATATAACAAAACCTTCAGTATAAGTATACCCTTTTATAATCACACCATTAGATGATTCTGAAGGGTGTGACAATATAGGAGGATAACTGTATATTAAAAAAAAAAAGGGAAAATGTTTTGCTTTCTAAAAATTTGCTACTGTAAACAAAATATTTCCATTTGCTTCTATAAAGATTTGGTAATCAAAATCATGATACAATTTACCCATATTTTCAGTATGATAATAAAAGATGTTCTGAATTAAAAAATTGTATGTGTCTTCCAGTTAAAGCAAATATTCTTATGCGTTTAAAAATTTCAAAATAATTTTGATGTAATGTGAACTGAAAAAATCAATGGTAAAAACTTCACAACATGTCACTTTCTAAATTTTCCTCAGGTCTTTGTTATCTTTCCCACCTCTCCTCCCTTCCCTGATCTTTTTTATCTTTCCCACCTCCCCCCCTTTCCCCTGGTCTTTTTTATCTTTTTTATTTTCCCACCTCCCCCCTTCCTTGTTCTTTTTTATTTTATTGTTAATTAATTTTTCGATACTCTAACCACAAACAAGAGAAAAGTTATACCATAGGAAGTGTGGTCATTGATGTCAATGTGAAGAAATAATGTATTTTATCTCGTGAAACATGAAAGTATTTCGTTAGTGAAGTGTAGGAGCTTAACAGTACATTTCGACCATGAAGGTTTGCCATTTCTATACGTGGATTCAGTTAAGACATTGCTATATTGCAACTAAAATGATGTTCTAAGAGCTTCTTGAAGTTTGAAAAGAGAGGTTCTTCTACTTTTAGAGTCAACACCTTTGTAACTGAAATGGTAATTGAGTTTCTACACTAATGCGTCCCATTTCACACGTATTTTTTCTATGCATTTCTATATACTACCATTACCCACCTATTCAAACATATTTCTTACTCTTACATTTTTCATTTCAAAAATAGAGTACAACAATGACGTTATTTTAGGACAAGTTTTTACTAGACTCATCCTGATTGAAGAGATAGACGCGTTCGAAAAAAGCAAAGAAGAAAAGATAACAGAAAAGAATTTTGAAACTGAAATAGCACGCTTGAACCGGAGTAGATGAAAGAAATAAGAAACTTAAAGCAAAATCTAGAGATTATTTGAATGAACGAATCTCTAATGAATGAAAATCATTTTTTAAGAAATCAAAATAATTTTGAAAAATAATTATTGATTACGCAAGCTAGTTCCATATGATGTATAATAAATTCTTGAAAATAAAGATTTTACAAAATAAATTGATTTATTTTACTGTGCCACGTTTTCTAACCAATAATATGTTTGGAATTACATTTTGTCGGAACAAAAAAAAGCAATTAGAACTTAATATTTGCATCGTGAATATGTACTCGCATTTTGATAGTTCCAAGTCAACCTTACTCCTTTATTTTTAGTGACAATTCGTTTACTATAAAGCTTAACGAAGATTAATGATTGTATCGATTGTTTCGTTAGAAATAATGAATTAAAAATTTCTGTTAGCATTTTGAGTATGTACTGTAAATTAGAATCGAAAGTGAAACATCCTGATCAACTCTGCCAATATTTATCATCATAGAAGGAAGATTTTTTTTGTAAGATGATGATTTATTCATATTGATTTTACCATCATTCATTTATAAATGAGAAAAAAAAAGTTTATATTTTCATTGATTAGCCAATATAATTAGGATGTGTCATATAAGTCTAATATATGATTTAGCAAGAATAAAACCTGAGGGATATTTCTTCCTAATGCGGAGCATAAAGAGAATATGCTGTGTATGATGAACTTTGTCGGGGAATTTCACAGTAACTTTAATTTAATTCCACAGCTAATTAACAAAAAAAAAAAAAAGGATTTTCTTCGTCTTAGAATAAATCTGGATTCAATCATGTAAATCACTTCTTGATACAATAACAAAGAATTGGTGACTAGTAATAAACACCGCCAGTGAGTTTTAGAAATATTCGAAAAATTTAATTGGAGAAATTTATTATTCTAATAAATAATATTACATCCGATATCGTTCCAAATTTATTTTTCGTCGTTTCCAACTACTTTCTGTTTCTTGACTATCAGTCTGCTCGAGAGATTTTATTCCGATCTTTTTCCAATCACAATTATTTGATTGACCATATACCGAAATAGGATTTTGAGATCCATTTATGTACAGTACCGGAACCATTGATGGTCTTTCGATAAATGGCAAAATGATGTAGTTAAAATAATGCTTGAAACAAAAGACTATCGCCCGTATATATAAATGTATCCTTACCTCCCATGTGCACATTGAAATGGAAAATCACACTCTGCAAGTTTTTTTATCAACTCTTCACATTTTTGTAATGAAAGATTGTCATTAAACATGATAGCACCTATTAAAAAATAAATAAATTAATATTATTGATATTGTTTTTAAATATAAATTGACCAACAATAAATAAATTACCTCTACAGGCTTTGGAATTTAATATATCAACGATGCCTCTTGGACATTTTCTTATCATTGTCCGCCATTCTCTAGATAAATCAGTATTATCATTTGTGCTAAAATCGATGCCAATCCCGCCTGTATCTTCTAACCAATAAAGATGCTGACGAATAAGTTCTTGTGTCATTCTTGTATCTAATACACAACGATCAGCAATCATTTTCGGAAGATGAGTCACATAGATCGGAATAATGTCTCCCTCTTTTGAAGAAATGAAATGCGGCGAAACAAAAGAAGTGGTTGACGTATTAGGCATGTTATCGGACTTGGCTTCACATTTATCACTAAAAAATATTCCCCATTTATTAAAGTTGCCTTCAAATCTCCTGATAGCTTGTGCCTCCCTAAATGTTAAAATTATCTTATTTGATGGTTTAAGTTGAATTGTTTCAACAAATGAAGTAGCTTGCTGCATTTCACCATCAATATCCATTCGATCCGGTTGCTTAAATTCACAAAATTCTTTCATTAACATCTCAACACGCACGCGTTCATCAGCTGCGTGTTGGTCAACAAGGACCAAAATATTACGTGTTCTTTGTTCAACAACTCCATTCTCATCTATACTTTGATCAATATTTTGCGTACAAGGTAACTTGCAAGCAATGAATTTATCATCAAGTTGTCCTATAACTTTAGCCTGCTCAATATCTTTTTTACAAAAACGATGCTCCGAAACATTTGTACGAGTTGAGAAAAAATTGCTAGTGATGGAAAATTTGTTGTTTGCAGTCATTACTTTAAGCATAGGAATTGGAACTTCCGTGCTTTTGAAAACGGGATTATTCCATTTCTAATTTAAAAAAATTAATAATAAATGATATTGAAATTGAAAAAATTTTGGGCATTGTTATAATTTACCTCAAAAGCCTCTTTTGCCCAAGACATCGCTCCCGAATTATTAATTTTGTCATCATCTTTATGAAAGCTTGATGTTCTAAGTCTACTTCGATCTATTTTAGCTTTTAATTTGACGTTTGCATTAGAAGAGTGTGATTTTGATTTCCTGGTAATTAAATCTTGAGAACTTGGTCGATTCGCTCTGAAGTTATTCTCTGAATCTTTGTTATCTTCGGTAAGATCATCACAGTGGCTAACGTCGTATAAACCTCTCTTAAATTCTTTATCTTGAAATGTGTACCGACTCTGACCTCCACTTTTAATATGAAATATATCTTCAAGAGAAAGTGGTAAATCGCGTTTATGATTGATTGGTCCCTGATTAATTATTGAAATGGTAGAATTATCATCTAAACTTGGTATTGGCTCAATCTCACGTAATGAAAAACCATGTTGCACCAGAAATTGAGATACTAGTGCAGATAAAAGGCCTAAAATTTTGGACCAATTCTGAAACGAGTTTGAAAAAAGTTTAGCCAACAATTTAAGTCTCAAAATTTAAAATAAAAAGAAATATCAAATCAACCTTAAATTCTATTATATTTTTTGCTGGATCCAAACATATATCATAATTAATTGTTGGACAAGTGAGATGAATGAAGAATATCGGATACTTTTCTAGAGACTTTGTCATAGAGCTTTTTTCTATTTAGAAATAATTAAATAAGTTTTGTTTCGTAAGTTAATTTATTCACATATCATTAAGAAAATACTCACTAAATTTTGATGGAGAATCCGATCCGTATTCCAAAGGTTCATCATAGTTCTAATTTAAAAGAAAGGATTTTGTAATAATGAAAACATTATAAGGGAATATTTCATTTATCGGAAATTTTACTTGGTCGTCTAACCTTTTTCCCAAAACTACTTTGATTGAACATGTCATCAATCAATTTGTGTACTTCATTATAATCTATATACCGTTTATTAACGTCTAAAAACCAGTAAGGTTAGTATTTCAATAAGATGAGATAATAAGCGAATGTTTGTATAAAGTTATCAATAATTACAAAAATATTGATGATGCTATATAACAATAAAGAATCACATTAATTAGAAGATTGATTTAAATGCATAGGAAAAAATATATGTCGCAAAATATTATTTACTTTCGTATGAAACCCTCTAAGGGAAAGGAATCCATCGATTTTGATGTCGTCTTCTTCTGCGTATACTGATTCAAGATTCTATAAAGAAATAATAATAATAATAAAAATGAAATATAATAATAAAGAAGAATTATAGATTGATTCCGTTATCTACCTGCGACAAAGATGATCCAAAAAGCTGATGAAAAGTATAAATACTATTTGCAACCTAAATAAAATAATTGAAAGGTCATTTAAAACTCTTTGCTGGCTAATCAACAAAGGAACCAAATTTACCTTTCTTGTAGTAACAATTTTTCTATCTCTTAATGCGTCAATTAAAGTGAAAGTCACTTGAGGATTAATTAATGCTAAAGATTCTATTGATTTTTTAACATTTTCGAGTTCATTGATGAATTTATTCTCTGATAAATGCTTACGACGGACAGGATACTATAAATATTAAACAAAGATTTTAATTACATTATGATTTCATGAATTCTTTAAAAATATTAGGGTCATACAGTGTAAAATAAATCACGAATAATAATTATAGTCCCGGACTTTCTACGTCTGCATCGTGTCGGTCCATATTGAAGACGCTGACCACCCTAAAGAGCAAGTAATAAAAATATTAAGATATCATAATTAATTGATGTGAAAATTATTCGAAACATCTGTATAATCGAACCTTCAGAATAGTGCAATATGTGTCGTAGCAATCAGGATGTTTACTTATTATTTCCAAGATTGAGACTTCAGCCAAAGAAGATAAGGCTTTAAATAAAAATAAGATAAATTAAATAAACGATTAAAAAGCATCGAAAGAAATTTTACTGAATGAATAATTATCAAACCTTCTCCGCGGAAACCATAAGTGATTACACGTGCCAAATCTTCTAAGGTATGACATTTTGAGGTAGCTATAAATATTAAAGGATATTAAAATCAAAATTCCATTCTAATTAATAGAATTAAATAATTAAATTTAAATACCATATCTTTGACCAATTTTTTTCATATCATCTGGTGTAATTCCTGATCCATTATCAGTAATTTGAATAAAAAATTTCATCAAATCTACATGAATTTCTATGGACGTGGCTAACGCGTCAAGGCCTGACAAGAGTTTGTTACAAACATGGTAAATAACATAATATAGAATAATAAAGTAGTAACGCTACATGTTCTTACTATTCTGAACGAGTTCGACGACGCACTGAGCAATAGTTGAAATAAAAGAAGCTCGAAGTTTGCGAATAGCCGAGTCATTTAAACGACGAATTGTCATGTTGGAAAGTACGTGACAATTTAACTGAGAATGTACACGTTAAGAAATCCCTTTTTAGGGTAACTTTATTATAAATCGAATAAAATCAATTCGACAAATTGTGTAAAAATCCGAAAAATAATGTTCAACTTTTTTCATTTTTTTTTTTTTTAATTAAGTTTATATTCAATTGAAAATAACCAACTCGAAATTATACATTGATATGTAAAGTAAAAATAAAAAACTAAAAAAAAAAAGATATATACAAAGAATACTAATAATAACTATAAAATTTGTGAACTGGAATAAATAATAACAATAATAAATATATTATGTCTTTTTGGATTTACAAAATTCTAATTATTATTTTGAATATATTATAGAAGCCTCTGATAAGTAAATGTCATTTTTCAAATAAGAGGGAGACAACTTTACCATAATTTCCAAGATTTGTTCTTTTGTTCTTGTTGTTTGCTCAATTGCTTAGCCAATTCAGCAAAACTAGAAGCATTATTTTTTAACGTCTCGGTTTTATCAGACATATTTTCAAGCTTTTCTTGACGTTCATTCAGAGCTTCTCCGATTTCAGCCAAGACATCCTTCGTTTGTGAGGCACCATTTGTGGTTATATGATCTTTTGGAGGTACTGGTGGTGGAACTTGATCTCTACCTTCTAATAATTGCTCCCGTTCGCTAGCTATTGTCTCCTCGCCTCCATTTCTTGCACTTCTACTTAACTCTTCCTCTTCTTCCGGATCAATTTCAGGATAAATACGTTTATCAAGTTCATCGAATTTTTCTTTAAGTTTTTCAACAAGGGCAGTTGGTGTACGTTTAAAAAACATTTTCATATTAACGAGTTTATTCATGGAATTCATTCTTTTGTTGGCGGCAGTAGCTTCGGGTGTATCCTGTTTTTCCTTCTCTTGACCTTCATCGTTGTTTTCTGCGGATCTCGCAGCATCCGCAGTTTTATCGTTATTCTCGTTGGAACTTTCGATGATGGATTCGGGTGAAGCGGGCGTAGCGGATGTAACGTTATCCAACTTATCAACATCATTATCCTTGTTTTCCTTTTGCTGAATTTGAACAGTAGAATCTGAAGTAGCAGCATCCTTCTCTTCTGAAATGGTACTTTGAACGCTAGCATTTGCAGAGGAATCATGTTTACCCATCATGTTTCCAAGTTTCTTGCTAACACTCTTGAAAATATCGGCGCCTTTACTTGTTGGAGAAGTTTGGTTTGGAGGAACAATTTTTTTAGGCGAAGTCGAAGTTGGTGAAACTGTAGGTTCAGGATCTTTGGTTTCTTTCATTTCAATTGGTGAAGCAACAAGTTGAGGAGAACCACTTCGTGAAGGAACTTTAATATGTAAACCGTTTTGAGTGGCTAAACATTTTTTTTTTTTTTAAAAAAAAAAAAGGAAGACCATATATTAATAAATTAAAACCAACTTATAAAGAATAAACTTGTAAAGAACAATTAAAAGAAAAACCTTACGTTTATTGTCATTTTTTTGTTTTACTGATTCCCCTTCATTATTATTTTGAAAATCATCTATTTTCACCTCAGGAACGGTTTGGTTTTTTTTTTCGTCCACGAATTCATTATTGTTACCAGTAGTTAATGATTTTGTACTCATATTGTCTCTTTTCTTTTGATGTGAAGTCGTTAATTGTTATTGTAGATGGCTTGGGATTTTCAGAAAAAAACGGGTCCAAAATGCCCTTTATTTATACCAAAAAAAAATTAAGGTTTATGTAAAAATATTGTATGATAATGGAGGGTTAATGGCTTAATTTTTAGATTCTGGAAGGATTATATTTGTATAAATACGTTCCATGCTGGGAAATTTTTGTTGAATATCAATTGGTAATGTTTTGATTTAATGTTAAACAAGAATATTTCGGTTTTAGATGTTTCGAAACCTATTTCAACCTGATTTACTTTCACTTTTTATTTTAACTTACATTTTAAAATTGGAAACGTTACAAATTTGGTTTAATTCGATTCGATTTATTTTATTTTTTTTTTTTTATATTTGCATTCTAAATTGTTTGAATCACATAATTTTACCATGCAGAAATCCAAATACACAAAACAAATTATTATGTAATATTACTATTTAAAAAATTTTATGTAACAAATGTAATAAAGCAAATAGAAGGAAAATAAATCAAGCATTTATGAAGCAATTAAAATGTCCTTTTTTAAAATGTGGAAATGTTGGTCAAATTTAACCCGTGACGCTTAATCAACTTCTTCCATTTGAGAAGCTTCCGCAGCGGAAGAGTCAACTAGAGTTGGAATTTCTTCAGTTTCCATTGCTTCGGTTTCGTCACTGCCAATATCAAGACCAAGCTTGATCATCTTGAAAATTCTTCCAGCAAATGATGATGGTTCGTCCAAAGTAAAACCAGATTGTAAAAGTGAGGTTTCGAAAAGAAGCCATGTGAGATCTTTAACGGTTTTATCATTCTTGTCAACCTCTACTTTATTTTTAAGTGACTTGACAATTGGATGGCGAGGATTGATTTCCATAATTTTCTTGGAAGCCATATAAGAAGCCATGCTTGAATCTCGCAACGCCTGAGCTTTCATAATACGTTCAAAGTTGGCAGACCAACCATATTGACCCGTGACGAGAACACAGGGTGATTCCGAGATACGATTTGAAACAAGGACCTAATAATATTGGTATTTTCTTTGATTAGTAGGATTCAAAATAAATTGTTTTGATAAGGGAGGCTGCTGTGATTTTTACCTTCTCAACTTTATCTCCGAGAATTTCTTTGATTTGTTTACATAGTTCCTCGTACTGTTTAGTTTCTTCTTCGCGTTGCTTTTTCTCCTCTTCGTCTTCATCAAGTTCCAGGCCTTCTTTAGTAATACAGACTAATTTCTTACCATCATATTCTTTAAGTTGTGATACAGAATATTCGTCAATAGGATCGGTCATTAGCAAAACTTCATAACCTCTCTTCTTAAGCACTTCAACAAAAGGTGAATTCTCTACAGCTTGACGGTTTTCACCGGTAATGTAGTAAATGTCTTTTTGTTTTTCTGGCATTCGAGTAACATAATCTTTAAGAGATGTTAATTCATCTCCAGATTTTGTTGAATGGTACCGAAGGAATTCTGCTAGTTTAGCGCGGTTTTGAGAGTCTTCGTGGATACCGAGTTTGATATTCTTTGCAAAGGCTTCATAAAACTTGTTAAAGTTGTCTTTATCTTCACTAATTTCTGAGAAGAGTTCCATACATTTCTTTACTATGTTCTTACGAATCACTTTAAGGATCTTATTTTGTTGAAGCATTTCACGAGAAATGTTGAGAGGTAAATCCTCGGAATCCACAATACCCTTAACGAAGTTGAGGTATTCCGGAATCAAATCTTCACAATCATCCATAATAAAGACGCGACGAACATATAATTTGATATTGTTACGTTTCTTCTTTGTCTCGAAGAGATCGAATGGAGCACGACGAGGAACGAAGAGGATTGCACGGAATTCAAGTTGACCTTCAACAGAGAAGTGCTTGACAGCCAAATGATCCTCCCAATCATTAGAAAGAGACTTATAGAATGAAGCATATTCTTCATTTGTGATATCATCGGGGTTTCGAGTCCAAAGTGGTTTTGTCTTGTTAAGTTCCTCGGTTTCCTTAGTTTTCTCTTTAATTTTCTTTGTTTTCTTCTCCTTCTTTTCTTCTTCGTCTTCTACTTCCTCAATTTTAGGTTTCTGATCTTCGCCTTCTTTGACCTCTTCGTCCTCTTTGACCTCTTTGTCTTCCCCTTCTTTGACCTCCTCTTCATCTTCAACTTCTTTCTCAACTTCCTTTTCGACGACAAGTTGAATTGGATAACCAATGAATTCCGAATGTTTTTTAACGATTTCCTTAATCTTGCGTTCTTCAAGATATTCAAGTTGGTCTTCCTTCAAGAAGAGTTGAATCTCTGTGCCTCGTCCAAGTAGGGGATTTTGTGTGTCACGTGCGATAGTGAATGAACCACCGGCAGCTGATTCCCAAATGTATTGTTCATCGTCGTTGTGTTTGGTGATGACTCTCACACGGTCAGCAACTAAGTAGGCGGAATAGAAACCCACACCAAATTGACCGATCATAGATATATCGGCACCGGATTGTAAAGCTTCCATGAAAGCCTTTGTACCAGAACGGGCGATGGTACCAAGGTTATTTACCAAATCAGCCTATAAATTATAAATTTATGAGAAGGTTAAAGTTATATTTGTTAATATAATTTTTATTTATACGGAAAAATCATTTCAAAAATGCAGAAATAAAATACGATACCTTTGTCATACCGATACCAGTATCTCGAATGATGAGTACATTGTGTTCTTTATCAGGAATAATTCTGATATACAAATCACGACCGGTTTCAAGTTTTGAAGGATCAGTAAGTGACTCATAACGGATCTTATCCAAAGCATCGGAACAATTAGAAATCAATTCACGAAGGAAAATCCTATGTAGGAAAGATACAAAAGTAAATGATGTTAGGATAGTTATGTCAAAATTAAGTGGTGTAACAATGAGACGTATAAAAAGTAAACGCTAACTAGAGGTAATAATAATAATAAAACTAATAAAACTAATAATAATAAGTTATAATAACTTACTCTTTATTCGAATAAAAGGTGTTGATAATAATTGACATAAGCTGAGATATTTCAGCTTGGAAAGCAAATTGTTCAACTTCTAGTTCGCTCATTATGATAATACGTGAAAAAAAAGTCTTTTATAAAAAAAAAAATAAAAAAGTATATACACTTGAATAAAAAAATGATCCTTTCGGGTGCGTTAACAAAAGAAAAATTTTTTTGTTGAGAAAACTTTTTTTGAAGAAATTTTTTGATCCTTTTTATAATAAGATGACATGAACGGATGTCGTAGCCTTTTTGCAAACTTTCTATAATGTTCTATATGACAATGTTTTCTGTACAATTGTAATTGAATTTTTTTTTTATTGTGCACATGCCAAAAAAAGGAAGATCATCAATTTCGTAGTTGGAAGGTTCCAGCAAATTTTGAAAAAACTACGGAGATATATACTTTGGAAGGTTCCAGCAATTTTGAGAGTTGACGAACGCACCAATCGAATAAATGTTAAAAAGGCTGTGTCAATATTTTCAAAATCAAAATTAAATAATTCTAGAAAGATCTAATTTTATCTAACAGGTCAACGATAAAAATGATAAAAAATGAAAAATAAAAAGTAAAATTTCTTTTTTTCCGACAAAGAAAAAAACTGATGGCTAATTTTAATTTAACATAATGCTTTAAGGAGACAAGAACATGTTCTGGTATTTTTTATTTGTTACCACCTAAACATTTTTTATTTTAGGCGTTATCTGTACCCACAGATTTCACATGATATTGATAAGTACTTCCTTTTTCCGATCAATCTGGAACTGAAATCAATTAAAGAATGCAATATGTATGATTTTTATTTATATAAATATAATACAAAATGAGACTAAATAAAATATATCTATATATTAAATTAATTTTCTTCTTTTAACTAAATATGCCTATTACTTTGTCCTTTTTCTAGTAACGTGTCTTTATAAATATTTTCATATTGTGGTAAATCAGCCGTAAACGATTCTTTATCCAGTTCTGCTTCATCTCTTTTTTCATCGAAATTTTCCAAAACATCATCAATAATATAAGGAGTTAATATGCCGGAAGGTATAACGTCAGGACTTTGTTTTTGACGAACACAACTCGCAATTCCAGATTTAGGTAGCCATTCTGCTAATTTCTGTTGATACGTTTCTTTATAATCAGAATATTCTTCTTCACCATCACCTTCGTTATCCGAATTTGAACCAGAAGAATTTAATTTTGGTTTCTTTCTTCTTGGATATAATAATTCACAATTTCTAATAAAACAATCTTGACTAAAAGCTGTTGAATCTGGAATTAGACTTTTCCAACTTTTCTCTAAAGCTTTAGATATTTCGGATAAAGTTAATCCAGAAGGTAATATTACCCTGTGTATAGGGTATAATTTCGAATCGTTAAATTCATCTGTGGGTCGAATCTCCAACATAACTTCTAACCAAGGAATATAATTTAATGCAATATTCAATGGTCTAGAAAATGCTAAATCATCTGATAATAATGCTGACGTCTTGATTGGAATGGTGAATAAATCGAATGTAATGTTATGTGATTCGTTTGAAGAAAAGGTTGTAATGATTGAAGGAATAGATATGGATCTTGATGTGGGAGATGAAGGAATAATTTCTGGAATTTCTGGGTAAGCAGAAAGAAGCGGTGAAGGTGGTGGTGAAAAAGCTGGCCCATTATTGCCCTGATCCAATGGATCATATTCTACCAGTAATTCCGAGTGTGAAGACATCCATTTTAATATATCGTTTCTGGTACCATGAAATATGAATTTTGAATTTAAAGGTGTAAGACGGATTCTTGTAAGGTTTGATGGTTTCACTATACGGGCCTTATTTTCTCCTGAGATTTCTAAAAAAACAAATTTTTTTTTTAAGGTTATGATATGAAAATTTTACATTTACAAAAGAATAATGAAAATCTTGATAAAAAAGATATATTTACCCATGGAATATCCATATTTCATTTCTTTACTTTTAATGTTCTTAAACATCATATTATAATCAAAAAAAAAAATATATAATGTAGTAATTAAATAATTGTGGCAACTTGTGTATATTTATAAGAATTAATAATGCCAAGGATAATATGTGAAACCCAAATATGAATTTTTCCATGAATGACACGAGATTTGTCGTCATTCTAAAAAGTAAGTCATATGCCCAACTTGTAAAGTCTCCTTACTAAATAATCAGCCTCACTTGACAATTTTTTTTTGAATAGGAATTGGAACACCGAATGAAAAAAAAAAATCACCAGCCACTTGTGTATCGATGTAAATCCGAACAAAAGAATTTCTACTGATCTAAAATAAATAATATAATTTTTTTTATTTAATGTAGACGGTTTGCATTAGAAAGGAAGAAAGTCGTGACATATTTTTCTTTCTTGTTAATATATTTAAGTATATACAACAACCATTTCCCTTTGGGACAAAAAAAAAATCGCAATTGTAATATACATTTTGAATTAATGGGTCAGTATTTTTTATTCTCACATGATATCAGAGATTTTCGTTGCAGATGATCGAGATGATCGGCATTAAATTATAATAATTAATCCTATTGATAAATTTTTGCATTAATTACAAACTTTAAATAAAAAAAGTATTATCATATAGTATTAATTTGAAGAATTATATTAGTTATATTCAATTGTATTATTATATATATTATAATCAATAAAAAAATTTGATAAATATATAACATATGTAATTAATTAATAATAAATGAAAAACTGATCATTATATATAAATTTAATAGTTTAAATAATATCCTAATTTATGTAGCAATTATAATCTAAAAAGATGATAAAATTTTACTTTATTTTAATTAAATTAACTATAGAATAATAGGATAATATAAATTTAAGATTAAAAATTTTATATTTTATATTTAATCTTTTATTATTATTTTTCTTTATTTTTTAACTACTTTTTTTTTCTTTATTTAAAATTTTTATTTATTATTTGTATTTTAGATTTATTTTTTTCTTTTTATCAATTAAATTAAACAATTAATAATATCTTATTTTAATATCTTAAATCTAAGTTAAGTAAATTGCAATAATTGATTTTATTTATGAGAAATTACAATTTTTTAAATTATCATTTTTAAAGAAAAAAGTATATGTAAATGTTTTAATTGATTTCTTTATTTATATTTAAAATTTACAAAAAGTTAATTTAAAATTATTCTATTTATGCATAAATTAATTGTTACTTTTATATTTATATATATAATACATATTTAAAATTATTATATACAGTCAACTCTTGTTATAACGAACTCTATGTTCTAGACCTCAACTTCGCTATAAGGCTATA